AGAGAGAAAGTAAGTGCATGAAACCCTCCTGGGAAGGACATTCCGGAGCACGCCAAAAGCTGTCACACTCCCAGAAGGGAGAGCAACCAGGATTCTTCATGTTGACGAACAGCATGCAAATTCGACGGAGGAAAATGAACCTTTCTTGGTGCATTGACTCATAGCCAACGTCAGAAAGGTTGAACCTCACAGGAGCATCTCAAAATTTCACCCTTTGTTGAGTGCAGAATTAACCAACTGTCTTCCCTACAGGTTGTGGGCCTTGGGGCTTCAGTTGCCCCGGGGAGTGGAGACCCAGCCCTGGGCCGGTTCCTCACCTTGCTTGGGCAGTTCCAGTGCTCTTGGCTCTCTAGCTGTGTGGGTGATTGTCTTTAGGCAAAAGCAGTAGGTGATGCAAGTTACAAGGGAAGATGTCCATGTATGGAAATAATCCTCTCGAAGTCCCAGAGGCAACCACGCTGTCCTGTTGCCCCTGCAGAGCCAGCAAGATCATTGGCAGGTGGAGGACTCTCCTCAGTACGTCATGTTACTTTGCTCCTGGGACAGAGCCAGACCTTGGTCTCCGGCATCTCTTGTGGCTTTCTCGGCTCTTAACAGAAAACAGCATTCCTCCCATGCTGGGCCTCGTCTAACCTCAGCTCTTCCTTTCCAGTGTCTTGGACTCTTCTGGTCCATTCGGGTGCCCAGGATTTTATTTAAGACAATAGACTTTATTTTTCTATCCCCGGGGGTTTGCAGTGAAGACAGGGAACCCGAAGAAATGGGGTGGGGGGATGAATTTTCGTGAGGTGGGATTTGGGACTTCTTGCTATATTTTTGCCTCATGACCCAGTGATCTGATGCTGAGCCCCTGTGACACATGCTGTCATCACTTGACCTTATTTTGCAAGAGGCACCTGGGCCATCTTGTAAACTGGGTGGTTCTGGTGTCTGCTCAGCTTGTGGGCAGCAGTGGGAGGGGAGCTCTCTGTGAATGTGGGGGTCACCAAGTGTGCAGGTAAACAAGTCTTTTTGAAGGAGGGTCTTTTTAAATGGTTGACACAGAGTTGGGTATCCGGTCCTTTACGTGTGTGTGTGTGTGTGTGTGTGTGTGTGTGTGTGTGTGTAGTGCATTTGTTCTTCCATAACATGGAGGCTGTAGAAACCAACAGCACAAAGTCACATACCTGTGGACTCCTGTCTCAGGCCCCGTGAAGGGCTTCTCTGTGCAGCATTCTGTAGCCTGGCCCTCTTGCACCTTCTCTAAGCTGGAGACCACGGAGAAAGGTGTGAGGTCCTCTTGCTGTACCCGCTGTTGTCAAGTGGATTCCAACTCAGTTGGGACTCTGTATCAGGCTGTGAGACTGGAAATTGCTGCGGGAGCAGGTAGCCCTGTCTTTCTTATGCTGAGCACCTGAGGGATTTGAACCCCTGCACCCCTGGGTAGCTAGAGGTAGTTTAAAGTCTACCAGAGGTGTGCATAGGTTATATACAGATACTGCACCATTTCCTCAGCTTTACACACACACGTTTAGATATGTATACCTTGCTACCCTAGGGCATGATTTCATTATCCGTTTGCTCTCTGTTATCACTTACAATGTCTGGTCATGAAAGCACGTAGGATCACCAGATGCTTGTAATATGCTGGCAATCACTGTCCCCGACCCAAAGGAAAGGCCATGCAATTAAGAGAAATTTCTTCAAACATGTGGATCCTCAACTGTGGCTGGGTGAAAGTGGTGGGAATCGAGGCAGGCTTTGGCGGGCCGGGAGGGATTGTGTAGTTTCACTGTTCTCCTTCTAGCTTAAAGAATTTTCACTTGGGCTGAGTCTTGCAATCATGTAAGGAGCTTTCAAGACTGCCGACGATGACTCCCTGCCCTCAGGGATTGTGGAAGAAGTCTAAGGGAGGCCTAAAGGTACTGGGTTTACAAGTCCCAGGTGTGCAGCCAGATTCACCCCGTGTACTCCCTTCTCATCCACCAGCATCCCCGACAAATTGGAATAGAAGCTAGGTGAGGGTCTGCTCTAGACTTGTAGATGTATTAATGTGGAAGATGAAGACCAGAAAGGGGTCTAGCCCACCAGGCTCAACATCCTTGGGCTCCCATCCAAGCAAACCTAGCCCTGATCTGAACTTCTGGGGAGAGAAGAGCAAACAAGTGGGAAGAGCAGAATCCCTCAAAGATCAGGAGAAACCGTGTGGTGCTGTTTGCATGGCACTTAGCCTTGTGTTAGATGTTCTAAGTAATGTAGAGATGATTAAAAGTACGCTGGACATTCTGTGGAAGTTATATGCCAATACGGTGTCCTGTTTTATAAAGGCCTTGAGCTTTTATGGCCTTGAGGCTTCCGTGGGAGTGGGGATCCTGGGCGTTCCAAAACCAATCCCCCTCCCATACGGAGGGATAACTGTACATTTCTCCCATGCTCATCTTTGCAGGTAGGCCCCAAAGAGAACACTGGCGTATACTGTCTTATACATTGGAACTGTCATTTTAGATAGATCCTCATTCTCAGAGCTCCATGACATGGTTTATTTTCACCTCTCAGATAAGTCACAATTACATTATGACTTTAAAGCCCTCAAGGTAACTATTCCAGTTTTCCACATCGTTTATTCTCTCTCATCCGGATGTGAAGATTATAAACATGAGCGCGTGCAACGCAGTTTGACATGTCGAGCAGAGGCGCAGGGAGAAGATGAGGGTGCCCCGTCCTCGGGATAGCTAGTCGCTCACCATCAGCCTTGCCCTCTGGGAAGTGGGTAGATCATAAACCAGCAAGAAATGTCAGATTGCCAGTTGGAAATAATTGTTGAAAAAACATTACCTTTCTTCCAGTGGAATTACCTTTTGGGCCAGGATTTTATGTTTTCAATTGTTTTCTTTGTGAACTAGGTGAAGGTTTACAGAGCAGATGATCAGTTTTACATTCAACGATGTATACACATTTTGTTTCAACTCGTCTATTGCAATCTCCCCAGTGTCTAACCCAGGGGTCCTCAAACTTTTTAAACGGGACCAGTTCATTGTCCTTCAGACCGTTGGAGGTTCCGGACTACAGTTTGAAAAAAAAGCTATGAACAAATCCTATGCACACTCGACGAGCCGGCTGCTAAGCAGGACAGGCAGCGGGGGCAAAAACACCCGGCGGGCCGGATAAATTTCCTCGGGGGACCGCATGTGGCCCGCGGGCCATAATTTGAGGACCCCTGGTCTAACCACTTCCCCCAGGTCTCCCAGGTCTCCCAGTGTTGTCCTGTTTCCATTCCTCCTCCTTTCCTAACCCTTCTGCCTGAAGGTAAATGCTCCTTTAATCGTAAACGATGGGTTGATTGTTCTAAATTAGGACCAGTTCAGTGTTAGACATAAAGGGTGACTAAAGACCGTTTTCTTGGGGGGTCCCCACTAGTTTCTACCCAACCAATAAGAAAATTCTCTTTTGTGATTTTGAATTGTTTCTTACTTTTCTCCCACTCTATTCAGTACCTACCAATATGGTCCTTTCCAGAGCAGTGGACGGTGGTAGCTGGGCACCATGTAGTTCTTCTGGTCTCAGGGTGGTAGAGACTGGTGTTTGTCTGGTCCGTTAGTACATTTGAACTCTGCTTCCGTGCGTCTTCCTATTTTTGTCGCTGTGGATGGGGAAAGAACAATATTTGAGCCTTAGATGGCTGCTACTTCTCCTCAAAGTAGGGTATTGGACCTTGTCTTTGTGAACTGTGCTATGCCACTTGGCCTCCATGTCCCTCAGACTGGTCCTGCGTTCCCAGACCCAGCAACCCATTCCCTTGGCGTTTGCTTATGTTTAACACATTTTCATAACCTTGCCCTTGTGTGCACCACCGCATTCATGGATGGAGCACATAGATTTGCAGCAAATACACAAATGTCCTCTGTCAGACCTCTCTCTTTATAGATATATTTGGATATAAGCTCACTCTCCCCCCCACACACACCTGCTCAGTCTGCTGTCTTTTCCAGCAGCCACTCATGGATTACCACTATTGGATCAAAGATTGCTATTTTTTTTTGTTTTTCAGTGATTTTTTAAAAAATAAATCACTTTATTGGGGGCTTTTACAGCTCTTATAACAAGCTTTATTATTATTATTTTTAAGCATCCTTCTTTCCCCAGAAGCAGCAGAATTGCTTTTGTGATAAAAAAGCCTTAAACTTGGACCCAGGCAGAGCAATCACTACAGAGAGGGAGGAGCCCCTGGGTCCATCCTGCTGAACATTCCCACGGATGTTGTATGTGCCCTATCAGTGTTATTGTAGTGGTATCTCATGTCCAGTTACTATAGGATTGAATCCAGTGTCGTGTTTAATGGGAACAGGAAACACACTCCAGTTTGTGTGCTGCAGATAAACTGGGACTGAAAGGCCAGGACTTGGCAGAGGGCCCTCACCCTAACCCCAGCTCCATGCTGCAACATGAGACTTCAGAAACCTGGGAGGGAGCGGAGGCTGCTGTGTGCGTGCCCCAGGACGTGCTCTTGCTAACAACACATGGTCGGGCAAAGAGACCTCTGTCTTTTATACGTTCCGAGAGACAGCTGCCCTTCCCATCTTAGATTTCCTTCTTTTGGCCTCTCCACCTCCCTCCTCGCTCTCCCCCACTAGGACCATCACAGAAACCACGTGACTTGCGCTGTTACATAGTAGACTTGACTTATGCCCTTGGGTCTTGGGGCAGATGGCAGTGAGCTTGGAGGGATTTTTTTTTTTTTTTGGTCATTTCGATTTTGGCCCCTGGAACCGGGTTGTGTGGAACATGCGTGGCAGCCTTCGCTCGGCAGCGTGTCTGGAAGACGGTTGTTTCTGATCTCTTGGGTCATTTGGTGGTGGCTGGACTTGTGATCATTCTGAAGAGTAACTCTGGAATTTTATGAGTCGAAAAGGCAGAGCTCCCACCCCCAGGGGAAACGTGGGGGAGGCCTTGTGAATCACTCAATGCCGCACTGGGCACAGGCTTGGTGGACACTAATTCACGCTCGCTTTTTCTCCCTTCAGGTGCCCCTCTTGTTTGCTACAGTCCCAGCAGCCCTGCGCAGATTCTGGAAGACCCCGGCTACTTCTTCCCCGACTTCCAGCTCTATTCTGGGAGGCATGAGGCATCTGCTCTGACCTCAGAGGCAAATCGTGGCCCCAGGGAGAACAGCGGTAAGCCCTGCCCTGCAGCTAGCTGGCTCTGGGGTCAGAAGACCGTGTGGTCGCCTGGTTCTCATCCTCAGCACTTTTGCATAATTCAGATTCGTTCTCGTTTTGAAAGTCAGCATAGTGGATGCTTGTCTCTGGGTTGGAAGGGGGCGTAATTGTAATCATGTTGTACGATGGTCATTTCATAGACTGCTGATCTGGGGTAGGTAGAATCTGTAGAATTGTAACATTTTGCCCATCTTCCTTTATTAAATTTCTGGATATTTTCCCCTACCCTAGCCCAGACAGCATTTATAATTTCCTTCTGTGTCTTCTAGCAAATAACTCAGAAGTTCAGAAGAAATAATTCAGAAGTAGGTGGGGAGAGAACTTCCCCCCTTTGTTTAAGGAAATCTTAATGAAAATTCTGTATTTCGTGCACTGAAAAAATTTTTTTTAAAGGAACAAAAGTAAATCTTTAAAATCACTTCAGAGAAGTATCTCTTAATTCCTGACCAAAGTGTTAGTAACTCAGTTCTCAATGAAAGGAGACCCAGTCGTCCCATCCTTGAGCAGACCCACTTCCGTTAGGATCCCTCCAACCAAGGCACTTTCCTTTTGGAGCTTTGTTTTGTTTTGTTTGACTTTCTACTCAACGTTTGCTTAAAAATCGAAAATTTTCATTCCCAAGTACTTGTTCCACGAAGCCTTTGAAATCCCTTCCCCGAGGGAAGGATTGCTTGTGCCGCCTACACTGTGGTCCCCCAACCCCAGTCAGAGGGCCTGCAATAGAAGAAGCTTACAGGGCGTCCTTGGAGAGTAGGTGGGTGCACGGTACCATCTACATTGACCCCTCCAGTGCTGGCCTCTTCATTATTTGTTGCAGCTCCGTGGCACCTGATCATGTGTGGACTTTAATAATCTGTTCTTTTCTGTTGCCTTTTCCCCCTTTTTGAAGAATTTATTTTAAATGACGCTTACCTCTAGGAGCCTCATTCTTTTCACTCCCTGCTCCTGTATGCCCATGAGGTCTAGGAGCATGGTGTTCTGTTTGCTCCTGTCTTCTCGATGCCTAGTACATTTCCTGACACCCAGATCGCATTCTTGTGTTCATGTGGGTGCCGCGAAACCTTGCGTGGCAGTCAAGAAAGGACAGCCAGGTTCCTAGGTGAAGGGGAAAGAGTTGTTGCCTAGGGGGCATTGAGTTTATGTGAATGGGGGTGGAATAATTTGGAAAAGGATATCAACAGTGGCTGCAGCACTATTGGAGAGTATAATCGACGCTGAATTGTGCAAGTAGAAGCTGTGGAATTGGAGAATGTTCTCTGGTGCATAGTTTTGCCATAATTAGAAAAAAAATGAGACGAATAACAATAACTGCAAGGAAGAAGAAAATGTTCTAGAATTGAATATGATGACAATTACACAATGCGTCTTGATGTGATTGAATTACTGAGTTGTGTGACATGTGGATAAAGTACTAATAAAACTGTTATTAAAAAAAGAAGAAGAAAAAGAAATGACAACCAGAGAGGATTCTTCAAGTCAGATTCATCTGCCAGCCCTTTGTACCTGATCTTTTTTATTCTGAATTAGGTGCAGGTTTACAGAGTAAATCATCAGTCTCACGTTCAGTGATTCATACACATTTTGTTTCAACTTGCAATCTCCTCAGTGGACCATCCCTTTTCCTGTGTTTCCTGTTTGCATTCCTCCTCTTTCGAAGCCCTCTGTACTTTGTCCTTGGATAAACGCTGCCCTTTTGATCTTAAATGGTTGATTATTCTACCAGGGGGTGAGTTCAGTTCAGAAGGATGACCTAGGAGTCCCATCTGCCTCTGTCCAACCCGTAAACTTGGTCTCTTTTCGTTTTTAATTGCGTTCCCCATTTTCCTTCCCCTCTCTCCAGGACCCTCTAACGAGCACTTGCTAATGGTAGCCGGGTACTATCTAACTCTTCTGGTCTCAGAGATGTGGAGAGTGATGTCCGTGTGGTCCATTAGTCCCTTGGACTGTTTCCGATCATCTGTTTTTGTTTTAAATGTATTGCTCCACTTGGAGTTGATGTCTCAGTAACACTATTCCATGCTCTGAAGGCAAGGAGTAAGTTTGAATTTAGTCCACATTCCAGAAGGAAGATATTAACTCTCCCCGTTTTATAGACGAGAAAGGTTCAGTGCAGCCAAGCGACATGCCCCACGTCACAGAGATGGGACTCCTTTGTGTTTGAATAGGAGTGTGACATGATCCAAGTTGAACTTCAGGAACAAGGATGCAAAGTTAATTTAATAATTGAATTTATTAGCAAGAATTTCTCAAGTGTTTTTTGTTCATCACCCAGTGTTACCAACTGAAGCTATAACATATGATTACACGAGTGAAAACCTCTCTGCCCTCTGGGACTTTACTTCTGCCTCACAGGCTTGCATGAGTTGTGAATGAGTGAAATAGCAGAAGGTAGTTCTGTGTGGCATATCATAGGTACACTGAAGTTGCTATGTGGTCGTCACTCTGGCTATTAGGAGCCTTGGTGGTGCCATGGGCTAAGCATTAGGCTGCTCGCCAGATGAGGCTGTCTGCTCCTGTAAAGATTTACAGTGTCGGAAAACCTCCAGGGCGGTTCTACACTGCCCTATCGGCGTCACTGCGCGTTGGAATCAACTCGATGGCAGTGGGTTTGATTTGGGGTTTATTGAATGAACTTATCAATTGAGCAGGGAAATTCCGATGGAGAGGGTTGGCAGAGGGTGTAGGAGGTCTACTGGCAGACAGCTGGGCACACAACAAGCGACTGAGCTCCCAGGCTTCTGACTGGACAGAGTAGCCACAGCAGGGAAGGTGGATTTGGGACAAGGGCTGGAGAAGACATGTTGGGCTTGAAGGACTGGAGGGTCGCTGGCTGGTGATTGTAGATAAGGGGTACAAGTCAGAAGCTATAGACAGGCTGCAGATGAGGTGACACCGTGAGGGTGGGGAGCATCCAGGGCCGAACTGTGGGAAACACCACCATTCAGGGGGCAGGGGTGGGGGTGAAAGGAGCCGGACAGGAATACACTGAGTGACAGGAGCTAGATTCCAGAGGAGGGCGGCTGCGAAGCCAAATTAGGAGAGGTGGCGGTCAGTCACGTCAACCGCTCCGGAAAGGTGAGCTGGGTAATGTGTGTGCTGCGAAATTCTCCTTGGATTTAGTTACTTCTCAGGGTAGTAGGGAAGGCAGCAAGTGGAGCATTTCAGGCCTGGAGACAGACAGCAAGTAGAGATTGCTTTTGGAGCCCATTAGAAGAGAAGGAGAGAGTTTTATATATTTGTATATATACATGAATACACAAGAGAAAGCCAAAGTAATTGATATATGTACACATATATTTACAAAATATGAAAGTAACCACCTTTTCTGGCCCTGCCTTATACTTCTAATTACTACCCTGTATCTCTCTCCTTACTGTCTTTTCTAAAACCAAAATAATAAAATGGAATTCTTTCTCTCTGTGTCTCTCTCTTAAATATTTATATGTACATAAAAAGAAAATATAATTTGTTCTGGGTCTTTGATACCTGATACCTGATCCCATCGACACCTCATGATCATACAGGCTTCTGGGAGCACAGAGCAGAGACCCAAAGCCCATCTGTAGTTAATTGGACATCCTCTTACAGAAGGGTCATAAGGAAGAGACGAGCCAGTCAGGGTGCAGTATAGCACCTATGAGACATACAACTTTCCTCTAGTTCTGTAATGCATCCTCTCCCACACTATCATGACCTCAATTCTCCCTTCTGGCTAGACCAGAGGATGTATACTGGTACAGATAGGAACTGGAAACACAAGGAATCCAGGACAGATAGGCCCCTAAGAAACAGTAATGGGAGTAGCGATACAATGAGGATAAGGGGAAGGTGGGGGGAGATAGGGAGAACCAATCACAATGATCTACCACCTTTAACTCACTCCCAAGGGGATGGACAATAGAAAAGTGGGTGAAGGGAGACATCAGTCAGTGTAAGACATGAAAAAATAATAATTTATAAATTATCAAGGGTGGGAGGAAGGGTGGGAGGGGGCGAAATGAGGAGCTGATAGCAAAGGCTCAAGTAGAAAGAAAATGTTTTGAAAATGATGATGGCAACATATATACAAATATGTTTGACACAATGGATGGATGGATGGATTGTGATAAGGACTGTAAGAGCCCCCAATACAATGATTTTTTTAAAGGAGGTATATAGATGTCTATCCTTAAGTTGGGGAAGATAGCTTGTTTTACTGTGACGGGAAAGGGCTCCGGAGGAGAGGGTTGCAGTGAGGAAGTGTGGTGGAGCGGTTCTGGGAGCAGAGAAGGGCTGGGCTGGAGAAACTTTGGATGAGATACTGCAGACCGTGTGGAGCCGTGGGTGTCTTTGAAACCTTGTCTTTAAATGCAACCATAGTTAGAACATGAGTCATTCACCACGTGCGTATGGACACGCAAGCACATCTCCCATGATAACATGCTTTTTTCCATTTTTATCTTTCAGTGGAGGATCCTCTCTGTAAATTCCACTCCCCGAACTTCCCGCGGCTCCCCGAGGTGGAAATGAGAGGTTCCGAGGATGCAGCAGCTGGAACAGTATTACAGCGGCTGATCCAGGAACAACTGCGCTATGGCACCCCGACTGAGAACATGAACTTGCTGGCCATTCAGCACCAGGCCACAGGGAGTGCAGGCCCAGTCCACCCGATCAACAGCTTTTCTTCCACGGAGAACCTCACTCAAGAAGACCCACAAATGGTCTACCAGTCGGCACGCCAGGAACCGCAGGGTCAGGAACACCAGGTGGACAACGCGGTGATGGAGAAGCAGGTCCGGTCCACACAGCCTCAGCAGAACAACGAGGAGCTGCCCACTTATGAGGAGGCCAAAGCCCAGTCCCAGTTCTTCCGGGGCCAGCAGCAGCAGCAGCAACAGCAGCAAGGGACGGTGGGCCACAGCTACTACATGGGCACCAGCCAGAAGTCCCGGACTGAGGGGAGGCCCACGGTGAACCGGGCCAACAGCGGGCAGGCGCATAAGGACGAGGCCCTGAAAGAACTCAAGCAGGGCCATGTGCGCTCTCTGAGCGAGCGCATCATGCAGCTGTCTCTGGAGAGGAACGGGGTGAAGCAGCACCTACCCGGCACAGGGAATGGAAAGGCGTTCAAGGCAGGTGGGGGACCCTCCCCAGCCCCGCCTGCAGGCAAGGGGCTGGATCCTCGAGGTCCTCCACCCGAGTACCCTTTCAAAGCCAAGCAAATGATGTCCCCGGTGAGCAAGCCCCAGGATCACGGGCTCTTCTACAATGACCAACACCCGGGGATGCTCCATGACATGGCCAAGCCGTACCCTCCTCCTCAGCCTGCCAGAACGGAGGTGGCCGTCCTGAGGTACCAGCCGCCCCCAGAGTACGGGGTCACCAGGTGATTATCCAGCCTGCACGTTTTCCCAGACTCAGCCGTCTCGTTTTCAGCACTTACTGTTTTTCAGCCATTTTACACTTAGACTTAATATTTAACAGACCCCTTTTTGCCCCAAATGCATAGACTGAAACAGAACAGAGGGCACTTGGGGATTTCTCCGAGTGTGACAGAGGGCACTTGAGGATTTATGACGCTAGGGGAGGGGCACCAGTTGTTGGCCATCCTTGGGAGCGCTGCCCTGTGTCCTGGCAAAGTAGTCATTTTCCTGGCTGGCTTTGTGGAGCGCGTCCAAACTCCTGGAACATATTATTACCCAGGGATTTGATGGCGTCTTTCGTCATTGTAGAGTTTAAAGGGAAATGCCATCTGAATGCTAAAGGCATCGAGTTAGAGGGACCGTAGGAAGTCCCCAGTCCCGAGGACTCCTTCACCAGATGGGAAATGAAGGGAGGAGTCAATGGTCCACAGTACACACAGCACGCTGGGGTGGCTGGGGGCTTGACCTGCTCCCCTTTCATAATACTATCCTCTCATCTATTGCCCTAATCCCTCTTAGAACTTTCTAGTGTGTTCTCATAGATTGACACATGCAACAACGCTTAGTGTAGACCCTGTGCAGCCCAGGACCTAGAGTTCAGAGGTAAAGAAGGCATGTGGATCAGTCCCTGCTCTCAAGCAGCTCACAGCGGGATCTCGGGGGAACCCAGCACCTGAACAGGCCATGGCAGTGTTGTGTGCTGTTGTAGGGAACCCAGAGGGTCATATGACTTGAGGGCTCTGGGGAGAGCTTCTCAGAGCGGTGACATTTGAGTTTGGTCTTGCAGCTGAGGGATGTGGGGTAGAGGTGCAGCCCAGGCTGCGTCATACAGAGAGAATGCCGCTTCTCAGACAGAAAGTTGAGGGGTGAGTGAGCCAAAGACTTGTGGATGGAGGGTCCGTGGGATAGGACGTGGTGAGAAGTGGCAGAAAATGTGTTAGCAAAGGAAAGTTGAGACTGGTTGGAAGTTGAGCGTCACACTCAGAAGGTTAGAATGTACCCCAGTGTACTGCTGTGTAGATAAAGTTTACTAGTGTGGCTGCAGTACAGTGCAGGGTGGATGGAGAGCGCTGTTGCCCAAAATGGGCGGTACTGCTCCCTGGGGATCCTGGACCAACCCAGGGAGCTGCAAAGGCAGCGGGCCTTCGCTTTGCCCCGGATTGTGGGGTATAGTGCCAAAGTTTGTAATTGCCAGGAGGCACTGAGTAATTTTTTTTTTCTGAAAAGGGGCAGTAGTTATAAGCTTGGGCACCTCTGGACAAGAGGACTGGGAGCTGGGGGACCATCCAGTTAAGAAGGGGTGCAGGGTTGCTATGAGATGGACTCAACTCATGGCAGTGGTGAGGTCAAGGCTTGATGCCGTGGGAAGAGAGAGGAGTTCGGGGTGTTAAGAGAGGGAGAGCAGTAGAACTGACAGGATTTAGTCATCGAGTAGATATGGATGTTGCGAACCAGCGCAGCTGCCGACGAGGCCATTGGAAAGCATGCTGCCAGGAAAGAATCCGGGTGAGGATACCGAGGAAGGCGTCACCCGTGGTTAGATGCTCGTGAGCTTGTGCAGCGTGAGCATGAACAGCGAAAGCAAGTAACCACTTATCATTAGTGAGGTCATCAAGACAGAGTAGAACCACTCCTCAGGGTTTCTGAGCCTTCCCAGGAGCAAGCAGCCTCACCTTTCTCCTATGGAGCAATTGGTGGGTTTGAACCGCTGACCTTGTGATTAGCAGCCCAACGCTTTTCCCACTGCGCCACCTGGGCTTCATAGAAGACTTTATTGATCAGTTTCTAAATGGAATGAGCCGGAGCGTCCCCATATGACTCCAGAGCTATGTGCAAAGCATACCATGGCCACACATCTCCTGAAAGGGAGGGAACCGCAGGTTGGCAGAAAGAACGCCGGTTGATCTGCTGCTTAGTGCTCCCCAGCTGCTGACACGTGTCCCCACAGTCACTGGTGAAAGCCAGGGCTGAAGCATTTTAGACCTCTGACGGCGGCAGAGCCCTTTGTCTTAAATGTCGTCATCATCTGACCCCTCTGGAGAATCCAGGTGAAAGCCCAGGAGATGCTGCTTCTTCCCCCTTTATTGTTTCTTCCGTCAGAGACATTTAAACTCAAGCCTAGGTCTGGGGATTAAGCATTGTAACTATCTCCCGATCTCGGGTTTGTGCTGAATTATACCAGATTTACGGTTTGTGACATTATGCCCTTTCCCCCCACAAACATTTAACTCAGCCTCTCGAGTTTGGTAAAAGGTGAAATCTCCACAAATGAAGTCCCTTTCCTCCTTGTCCTCCTCCTCCTCCTCTTCTTCCTCCTCCTCCTCTTCCTCCTCCTCGTCCTCCTCTTCCTCCTCCTCCTCGTCCTCCTCCTCTTCCTCCTCCTCCTTGGCTTCACTCTTTGGAAAAAGACAACCTTTAAAGTGAGCCATTTGGATCTTTGCCTTTTGGCAAAGATCAGAACCGATCAGGAGGGGGGGAATCAGTTCTTGGAGGTCTACCCAGTTAGTTGTGGGAAGGGCCGTTGTCTCTGGGTTATGAAGAAGAAATATGAGAGGGGTTTGAGCCAATTGCCAGGTGTGGCAACTAGGTTGACATAATACATCAAAGGTTCCAGAAGACATAACAGGCAGGCCATTGAGCCTGCCTCCGGAGCCACAAGGCCCCTCTGTGAGGCTGGCTATGGCTAGCCAGTGTGGCTCCACCGGGACAGGCCTGGACGGACTGGGCAAACAGAGTTGCATCCACAACACCGTACTTAAGACACAGGTAACACAGCCTGAATACCCAAGGTTGCATCTGAAACTCAGTGCTCTGTGACGTTCAGGTTTTCTTGGACCCACGAGATAAACAGAGCTCCTTTTAATTTCACTGATGCAACCTTGCATGCTGGAAGGGATACCCGTCTTTTCATCCCTGAGAGTAATGGTTTAAGAATAGCTACAGGCTGTTGGATAAAATGAGCGTCTGGGTGGTGCGAAAAGTTGATGAGCTTGACTTACTGAAAGTTTCGAGGCTCAGTTTACCCAGAGGTGTCTCGGAAGAAAGAGCTGCTGATCTGCTCCTATAAACACTGGCTATTGAAAAACCTCTAAGTCCAGTTGTGTTCTACACGTGGAATTGTCATGAGTCAGTGTGTTAGGCAGGGTTCTCTAGAGAAACAAAACCAGGACGCTTATGATTATATATATATATGTATGTATATGTATATATATATATAGCAGTACGGAGGGGTCAGCTCAACTCATTTCCGTGGAACAGTTAATATACTGGAAGCCCTTCAACTCACAGGACTGCTGGTCCAAGGTCAAGGAAGCAGACAGCTGAGTCTTCCCTCAGGCAATGCAAGCAGTCCGCCTACAGGCAACAAACAGCAGAGTGGGTCACCAACAGTCAGCAGCTCAGCTTAGGCGCCACCCCCCCACCCCCGCCATGGTATGTCAAACTCAATCAATGCAAGATGACAGGATCCACCAGTCTCAAGCTCAACTGATGTACTTCCCAGCAGTGTGGCGAGGCAGGTCTCAAAGGAACCTCAAGCTCTAGCAACATGATCCATGGGTTGGCTTGTCCCACAAGTAGTGTAGCTCACAAGTTGAGTCAGAGAAGTAGCTGAAGCAGCCACAAAGCTGGTCCAATCACCAGAGAGCAAGAGAGCGAGGGGCTGGCCTTGCCGAGCCATTTATCTCTTTGCCCTCCAATCAAACTGCAGCCTGATTAATCCCACATGTTCCTATTGGCCAGCTTGACACAATAAACCTACCGATCACAGTCAGAATCAGTTCAAACCAGCAACTGGTTTCCTTTGGGTGAATACATAACAGACGCTCCTGGGATAGAAGGAGAGGGCTTTGAAGGCAATCATTCCACCCATCTTCCTCCCCCGCGCAGCAAAAATGATCCTAATATTGAGTAAAATGTTTAGTGGTTCGGTCCAGTCCATTAGATGGCTGAACTCACACAACTTTTTACTGGCGGCAGAAAGATCCTAAGATGTCCAGGGAGACAGAGGAGAGAGATTTTGGTGAGAAAACTCAAACTTGGATTTCTGGTCCTCATTTCTGACTGGCTGCAGCTTGTGTGTTCTCTCACCAGTTGGGATATGCTAAAGATGTGAGGATGGCTGGTCGATGATTAGAAAACATGTTAGGCCCCTCTCTTGTGAAACCTCATGGGAAGGCCATTAGTTGAGGCCTGTAAGGTCAGCGGTTCTCAACCTGTGGGTTGCGACCTCCTTTGGTGGGGGGGGGGTCGAACCACCCTTTCACAGGGGTCGCACAATTCATAACAGTAGCAAAAGTACTGAAGTAGCAACGAAAATAGTTTTATGGTTGGGGGGTCACCACAGGAGGTACTGTATGAAAGGGTCGTGGCATGAGGAAGGTTGAGAACCACTGCTCTAGGGGAACCTGAGCTAGCCATGTATCTATGACACTCTGGTTCTCCTACTGTACCAGTGAAAGGAATTCCTTCAACCCAAAGGCGGACTTGGATTGGAATGAAGAGAAAGTGGGAATAAGACAGGTTGTGTTTAAAAAAAGGAGGAAAGAAAGTAGGTTTGAATGTTAATTCTGATTCATTTTGTGCAAACAGCGCTCCTGGAAGTAGGGACTTGGCTTCTTCAGTCTGCACTACCCCTGGAAATGAATGGATACTGGTGGTTGATCTGATTTTGATCGAAATAGATTAGAGGACCCTAGTCAAGATGACCATTTGTTCCCCAAGGAAATCTGTCCATATTTCAAAAAATGTAGCAACTGTTGTTAGATACCACCAAGCCCGTTCTGACTCACGGTTAGGTCAACAGAACGAAACTATGTGGTGGTCCTTCACTGCGCTCAGAGCTGTTAGGGATGTTTGAGCCCATTGTTACACTCACATCCTGCTCTTGCTGAGGGTCTTCCTCGTTTTTGCTGACCCTCTGTTTCCCACACATGATGTCCCGCTCCAGAGTAATGTAAAGGAA